GGAAATGTACCAGATTTATGATGAACACTGTAAGTTTAATTTTGGACATGTTAGGTTTGAGCTATCTTTTAAACAACCAAGAAAAGATGGAATGTTTTCAGTTGTGTTTGGAGCTCAGATAAGAAATCTGAGGTAGGGATAGAAAGCTGTGATCATATGTGATTAGGATTCATGGGTGTAGATGGGATTGTCTACAAAGATATCTTTACCTAGATAAATACAGTATAAGCCTTGAGAGCTCCAATGTTTCAAAGCTAGGTACAGTGACATGCCCTGCAAAGGGAAATAAGGGAACGTGTTCAAAGATAGAAAGAAAAGGTTATTATCAGGGAAGTCTAGGGAGACGAAAGTTTCAAGAAGGGCAGGATGGTCAATAGTAGATGAGAACTGACCAAACAGTGCCTTGGATATATGACAATAGAAATCATTGGTAGCCTAAGGAACATCTGCTAAAAACAGTGATGGATGTTGGAGCCAGATGTAGGTAAAATCAAAAGTTGGAATTGAAAATATACAGGCAATTCTGAAACAGTTTGTGAATAGGGAAAGATGTTACTTGATATATCCCTCCACCAAGGCTAAGTGGTAAGATTAGACACCCCTTCTGCAAAGATTTCTCTGAGACTCCACCTACTCCTCAAGACTGTATTAAAGACTTCTTACATAAATTCTCATATTATTAACTCTAACTGTGGCACATATTACACTGTTTTGCCACTGGCAGTCTCCTCTTATTAAGTTGTAATCCATTTGAATGGCAGAGTTGAGTTTTATTTTACAATTGTACCCTCGGCACTTAGCTCTCAATAAGTAGCTTGATTTTAAGAACAGAAAAACAAATAATGTAACAGACTTATATATATATTATATAGAGGATATATATATATATTAGGATATATATATATATATATATAGGATATATATAGGATATATATATACAGGATATATATATATATATTATATATAGGATATAGGACTTATATATATATTATATATAGGATAAATATATATGTTTTTGTGTATGTATGTATAGGTGTGTATACACAAAACACACATACATTGTATTTTGAATTAAAAAAATACACTGCTAAATCATAGGGATTATTATTAGCGTAAAATTTTTTTGTCTTATTAAAAACTTTATTAAAGAAATTCTTTTTTTTTTTTGCTGCTATGGTATCAATTTAAAAACTTAAAATTAACTGAAATTTAAATATTTAAAATTTAAAATACTCAAAACATGATAATGGATGGTGATTATGTTTGATTAACTCTATGTAAAGTATTATATTTTCCAGTGGAACTAGTTATTGGAAACAGAGGTAGTCATAAATATGTTTTAATTAACTGAAGACTATACATTTTTCCCAAATGTAAAAATTAAGTTAATATGTGAACATGCATTCTCTAGACTCTTTGAGCTGAGGTCAAGGTATTAAAAGTCAATATAAAAATGTATTTCATGAAAATCTAGAAGTAAAAATACAGAAAGAAGTATCTTTTAGTGAAATCATACAAATTGCCAACCAAATACTAGTAGAGATGCTGTTCTGTTATTTTTGAAAGCAAGATGTTTTATACCTGAGAATAACATGTTGTTTTTCTTTTTACTGTATGAAATACACTTCCTCATACATTAGAGGAATAGAAATCATCTACCCGTCAGCTGTCACTTCAGATGTGAGGCAGCATAATGGGCTCCCAGGCAACTGCTGAAAATATCTCAGAAAGGGCTTTTCAGAAGTTTGTGGCCTGATGCATACACATGCAGTGGTGTGGCTGTTAATATTATTTAGGAGTAAATTAGTAATTTTTCCACCACAGAACAGCACTGGAAAGCTAGAAAGCAACTACAACTTTCCTTGACGTTGATGAACATTCATCATTGCCTTATATATTTTTAGCTTTTAAAACACTTCTATTAAAGACCTTATTTTTTACAGAAGCTTTAAGTTTACAACAAAATCAAGAGGATTTCCTCATTCTTAGATGTAGATTGTAAATTTTGTCAGGAATATCACATAAGTGGTTTTGTGTTCTTCCCAGTACAATTTATCAGGAGGTACATGAGATTGATTTGCCACAATGCTGTTGATTTTAACCTTGATCAGGTAGTGTCTACTAGGTGTACATAATGTAAAGTTAGTATTTTTCTATTTTGATTAAAATTTATTCATGGAAGATGTTTTAACATTATATAATGTTCTTCATAAAACTTTACTATTAATATCTAGTGATTTTCTAGCTCCATCATTCCTTTCTCATTCAGTAGTATGCTTTCTAATATACATAGGAGTGTTTACTTATTGTTTATTTTAATCTGTGTATCTTTATGGATTTATACTTCATTCACTAAATTATAGTCCATTAGTCTCATTATTTATGTTAATGTACAAATGTCCCAGATGTGGGAAGCCAAAGTCCCTTCAATTGTGTCCCATTTTCTTTTGACATATTCCCATTATTGTTTGAGTTATTTCCTATTTTCTAGCACAATAAGAGTTTTGAGGCTCATTCTGAAATTTTCATGTCCCTAACTTTGGAATCAGTTATTTCCCCCAGCGTTCTGATTCATTTTACTTAAGAATAATACTTAGAAATCAAGGTCTGCACAATTTAGTGTGGTACTTTTGATTGGTTCTTTAAGTGTGCTCATAACTAATGCTTCTAGATCCTCTTTGTTAGGAAATACACACACAAACATACATACTAAAACATACATTTACACATATATAATACCTATCATCTATTTATTATCTATCGTTCTCTCTCTAGGTATGTGGTTTCAATTGATACCTCCATTGCCAATCCAACACCATAGCATATAATCTATTCCTCCACATTTTCTTATTTGTAACTTAAGTGTGGTTTTACCATCTTATACTCCAACTTGAATGTTTCAGAGTTTCAAATGTTCTACATCCTTGCCAATATTTGGTGCTATCATTCTTTTTTGATTTTAGCCATTCCAGTAGTTAAATAGTGGTATTTTATGGGGTCTATTTGGCATTTACCAATGACTAATAACATTGATATCCTTGTTAGTTGTTCATATATCTTCCTTTATGAAATGTCTGTTCATGTTTTCTCCCATATTTGTTCAGTTATTTCTTTTTTTGATTGTGCTGTACAAATCCATTATACATTCCATATTCTGTATAATGTTCTTTGTCAAATGTGTCATGAATTTTTCTTACAGCTGTTGGCTGACCCTTCCAATTTCTTAGCACTGTATTTTGCTGAATGGAGAATTTTTTTAAATTTTGATAAAGTCTAATTTATCATCTATTGTGTTAACCTTGCAGATTATTGTTATTTGTGTTCTGTTCGAGAATTTTTTGCCTCCATCTGCCCCCACTTTATTTAAACAGATATTTTCCTTTTTTTCTTCAGTTTTTTATGTTGATATTTATGATCCACATCAAATTATTTGGATAAGATATAAGATAGGGGTTGCTTTCCTTTTCCCCATATGGATGTCCAGTTGTTTCAGCACCATTTGTTGAAAAGATTTTCTTTTTCTCCATTGAATTGTTATGGATCTTTGTCTAAAATCAATTGACCATGTATGAGTACATTTCTGAACTCTATCCTTGTGTGAACACTACACTGTCTTGACTACTTTATTTTTATTCTTTAAATCAGGTTACTTAATTCCTTAAATTTTGTTTTTCAAGATTATTTGGCTTTCCACGTCTATAACATTTCTATAGGAATTTTAGAATCATCTTGTTAATATCTATTTTAAAAAGTGATCTTTCTGGATTACCTATTATATTTCATTTTCTAAGAAGAGCAACAACAAAAAGTGAAATAAAGACAAATTTTACTTGTATCTAAGTTTAGAAAAAAAATATTTTTTCAATCAGTCCTGAATCTTTTCAATGAAACTTCTTTAAGCTTTTCAAATTTATGTACTAATAGAGATATACATTCATTGGAAAATTTGAAGGTAACATAGAATTTCTAAATTCCATTAACAGCCATCTGTAACTTATAGTTCCTTGAAATAATTTCAAAGGTACAATACATTCTGCCATGATCATTTCAAAATTCTATTGAAAATTTAGAGAAAAATGTTTGAAAACTCTTTACAAAATGGTTTTTGTGAAGTTTTTCAATAAAATTAATATTGAGCTAGCATACAAAGAATTCACTTTAGAATTTTTAAAGAAGCTATTCAAATAGGTAAAACAATAAAGTAGCTAAGAAAATAGCTTCCTAATATAGATAACCTTGGAATCTCAGTATTCCCTCTTGGTTAATAGCTAATTCTCAAACCATATAAGCAAAACAAACAAACATAAATTAACACCAGTTCCTTATTGGTAATTACCAAAGTTTATAAAAGAACTACCTATGATATGTTTTACTTGACATGATCTTTTGCCAAAACCCTCTCTGTTCCCAATACTGCTTAGAAAAATGTCTTTTAAGTGAGGGCCTGAAAACTGAGATCAATATTTCAAAGAGATAGGGATGCTAACAGCACAACTTTATGGCATGGCAACTTTAAGTCCTAATCATCCCAACTAGATCTTGCCTTTTCTTCTATCTTGTTACTGTACTGATAGTTCCAGGGTCATGACATAACAGGAATGGGACAATGAGGACTTAAAAATCATGCAGTTTGTAATTCCAAATCCTGTCTTCAATGACTTCTCCATGATAAACTTTGTTGGAGCCACAGAGAAAATGAGAAAAATTAGAACAAGGTGGCAAATGTTTCATAAAATTAAATTTATTAATCTTTTTATCCCATGCCCTTGTTGCTTTTATATTAAAATATCTTCTACTTTATGAAATTATATGCTATCTACATATAACACACACTTATTTAGTAAAATGAAAAACTGGTTGTAGGTCACTAAATTTAGGAGAGGAAAGCTCTAGAACTTCTGATTTTAACACAATCTTTCCCCTTCTTCAATGAATTCTAGAATGTCCCTTATAATAACCATGACAATATTAGGTAGTTTACAATCTTAAAAATATAGGGTTTATCTTAGATATTCTTATGCTATGAAGTAAGCTTATATAAGTATTGTGATAATTCTACCAGAATTCACTTGACTGTCCAGAGCCCATCTAATCAATCATGTGTTTCATGAGCCAGATAGTCTCTAGGTAAGACACTCTATGGGTGTGTCATAAACTACAATTACTGAAACAGGTAATTCAGTTTTTAAAGAAATTAACCTGATATGTAAAAGCCTTAGCAAAATAGGACAGAAAAAGAAGTCATCTCCAATCAGTCTAAGAAACAACTCAGCCCAAGGTAAGTGTTCTAAGAAAAAGTGATTTTAAAACTAGAAAGAGAAACTAGAAAGTTGGAACCTGGGTAGTGATAAAGTAAGGCCAAAAATTTAGCAACGGAGAGGGAAGAGGGAAGGGGGAAGGATAGGGTTAGAAATTAAATTTCTTTTTCTCTTCTAAGTAGCAACATTCTTCTTGGCAGAAAATTCTTTTATTATTAAAGTATTTTTTTTTATATATGAAATTTATTGTCAAATTGGTTTCCATACAACACCCAGTGCTCATCCCAAAAGGTGCCCTCCTCAATACCCATCACCCACCCTCTCCTCCCTCCCACCCCCCATCAACCCTCAGTTTGCTCTCAGTTCTCAACAGTCTCTTATGCTTTGGCTCTCTCCCACTCTAACCTCTTTTTTTTTTTTTCCTTCCCCTCCCCCATGGGTTCCTGTTAAGTTTCTCAGGATCCACATAAGAGTGAAACCATATGGTATCTGTCTTTCTCTGTATGGCTTATTTCACTTAGCATCACACTCTCCAGTTCCATCCACGTTGCTACAAAGGGCCATATTTCATTTTTTCTCATTGCCACGTAGTATTCCATAGTGTATATAAACCACAATTTCTTTATCCATTCATCAGTGGATGGACATTTAGGCTCTTTCCATAATTTGGCTATTGTTGAGAGTGCTGCTATGAACATTGGGGTACAAGTGCCCCTATGCATCAGTACTCCTGTATCCCTTGGATAAATTCCTAGCAGTGCTATTGCTGGGTCATAGGGTAGGTCTATTTTTAATTTTCTGAGGAACCTCCACACTGCTTTCCAGAGCGGCTGCACCAATTTGCATTCCCACCAACAGTGCAAGAGGGTTCCCGTTTCTCCACATCCTCTCCAGCATCTAGAGTCTCCTGATTTGTTCATTTTGGCCACTCTGACTGGCGTGAGGTGATATCTGAGTGTGGTTTTGATTTGTATTTCCCTGATAAGGAGCGACGCTGAACATCTTTTCATGTGCCTGTTGGCCATCCGGATGTCTTCTTTAGAGAAGTGTCTATTCATGTTTTCTGCCCATTTCTTCACTGGGTTATTTGCTTTTCGGGTGTGGAGTTTGGTGTATTTTGAATCTTTGAAAGATGATTTTCCACTCTCCACTCACAGCATGGTTCACTTTGGAAAGGGATGTCAGAATAATGAGAGGACTATACATTTCTGCTTCAGAAAAGAAAGAAAACTTGGGAGAAGAGAATATGGGGAATAACATGAGAAATAGAGCAGGTATTGAGGTATGAAGAAGTGAGAATGTGAGCAACATGATGGCATATAGGCATCCACTGAAAATCATATAATAGCCATCATGGTCAAACAATTTTTAAAAACAAGTGCTATTTTAAGTAGTTTACATTGTGATGGTATTAAATAACTATCCTTTTTTTACCTCCAAATCTCCAGTTTGAGGAAATGAAGACAAACAAGATAATTTCAAATCTAAGTTGCCACAGAGTAGAAAAGGACTAAAATCTTTCTGTACGCTATGCAAAAAATTGACCTTTGGTTAACTCTAGCTTTGTTTCCTACAGTTACCAAAAAAAGGAGTATCTTTGTCAACCGTGCTTCTGGGGTTGGTTATGATAGAAATGACATATGTTTGTTAAATTATGTCTAAACATGAAGACACTATAAATGTGGTAACACTCCTTTCCTCTGGAACATGTTCATATAGCAACACCTTTATCTCTTAGTTGATCAGAGTAGCTGACTTCCTCCAACAGGTACTTTCAGTTCTTTTTGACTTTAAGTCTTAGGGTTTCTAGGAAATAGAAAAGCCTTTCTATGTATTGAACATGATTATACAAAGAATCTGTTAAATTGGGCACAAGACATGGTCTGGGACCCAAATTCATAGGCCTGCCAAACAAATTTAATGTGACAGATACTATGCTTATTTGTAGGCATCATTTTAGTTTTTATAATGCTAGTGGTATCGTTCCACCTTAACCCCATAGATTGCTAAATCTTAGCCAAGGAGTTTTCCCCAGTTTGATTCATTCATGCTACTTTTTCAGAGGACAGAGGCTCATAGGAATCTACAAATACTTATATAACTCCAGGACAACAGTAGAAATAAAAACACTTTTTTTCCCTAACCAATGCACTCTAATATATCAAAAGTGGGAATTTCACATATTGAAAGAGTTTTCTAAAAATCAACTTTTGAGGAAAGACTTCAGGCCATCCTGACATCATACACACCAGTAGACAAAATCTCTTACTTTCCACAGGCATGTATTCTATAAAAGCCACTGCCACAGGTTCCTGGGAGATTTGGCTGGGGATTCTTGCATTTACCTTGGGAGTGCCCCATTAAAAAATTCTTCAGAGAAATAGCATATTTTTCAAAATACATTTTGAATCATTTCATCTTTTTGTTAGGCACAGTAAGAGTCTAATAATGCCTTTAATATCCCTCTTTTATTCAGATGATGTTATTAATACCATCACAACATTAACCAAGCAAATAAGTACTATGCACAGGTATTACTTCATTAGGTAATTCCCATGGTCCAAATTTCTTCTAGCCTCTTTTATAATTGATTTGTCCACTTCATTTTGTGAAGTGTTTTTTTGGAAACAAACAAGCCTTTCTTATTGTGTTAAAGAGCAGAGCTTTGAAGTCCAGAGTCTGACATGTTTTAACTACAACTTTTGTAGCTCTGTCAGCAAAATGAACTACTAATCTGAGCAGGCAGTTGTAAAGTTTCTAACAAGCTATTAATTTATCATTAGTTAATTTTTAGTTCTTATTAAAATTAAAACTCTACTTTTAAATTTTTGCATGACAGACACTATATATTTATTTGTAGTAAATATATATTATGTATTTAAGTCTAACCAAGAATCATTCCTCTAGTAATTGCCGTTAATTCATTTGCCTATGCAGATTTAATTCTAGACAAAACATAAACTTCCAGTGTATTACAATAAATCACTACAGCATAGAAGGGTTTAAGTTGGCCATTTTTCCCGAAGTACATGACACGTCAATAAACACTATCAAATATGCAATATGAAAAGGAGTATCAAGCAATTCCACCTGGGTTTTTCAAATTTTGAAATTCTAAGAGCTGGAAGGGAGACAATAGCAATTTCACTTGTTCAAAAGCCTCTTTAGATCCTAGGGACAGAAACAGATCCTAGGAAGAATTGTCCTGTATTTGTTTCATCAAAGATTTGGTCCATTCTGCAAAATCTGTAATCTTGTCTATAATGCTGTACTAGACCCAAAAATTGTCCAAGTTTTGTGTGTGTGTAGTAGTAGTAGGCCACTTTATCTGCAAAATTGGATTATTCCCACATTGTAACACTCTGTGGTCTATAACTGACAACAGGTACCCTACATATTTATCTCAGATAAGTAATATTGTAATTTGTCTATTGAGGTCTTATGCATTTGTGAATCAAATAATTTTAACAAAGCCAAAGTATTAGTTTTGCATTGTTTTTTTTAAGTTTTGGAGGCTACTAGAAAGCATCTATATTTTGAATAATTATAAACGGCTTTAGTAGAACAAACTTCTCTAAGTTATCCTGTAAATGACTAGAGACAATAGTGAGGGAGTCTTGAAACCCTCGAGTAATTCTTTATCATAAATATTGAGGTGCTTTTAAGTAAAATCAAACAAAAATCTCAATTGGTCCACTAGAGGGACAGAAAAAGTAGAACATAGATCAATCATAGGAAAAGACTTTGCAGATAACAGTACTGAAATGAGAATAGTTGCAGGGTTAGGAACTACAGGGGTTAATGAGTTTTCTAAGATCTTGTATAGATCTCTATAGTAGCTAACCAGTCTCTCTTAGCTTTTTTTTTTTAATGGAAACATGGGAATATTACACAGTGAATACTCCCTTTTTAAATTAACTGTTCTTATTCTAGTTCTTTTTTACCTAATTTTATTCTTTCTAATTGAACATCTGACAATGGATTTTTTATTTACCTCATGGCCATACCTTATCTTTTTGGAAAATTATTTGTATTAGCTTTATATTTTTAATTAAACCAGAATCATAGTTCCCTAGGACCCAAAGCTATGCATACAATTGTCTCAGCTCAGGGTGCTTTTTTAGAACAGTGTAAGACTGCCACTCTCTGGCATATCCCTTTTATTCCAGAAGGCAGAGAATAACCAATCCAAGTGTCATTTTCCTAAGGTACCTTCACAAACATTCCAACTGGAGTATAGAATATGAGCCTTTAATTTGCACAGCAAAGCTTCCCCCCAGTAGCTTTACAGGAGATTCAGAAGAAAGAACGCCTGTTCCTCAATCAGAGCAACTATCTATAAGGGAATTGTGGAGGGCAAGAAACAAGTAAAGGATGATCCAAAACAGCTACAACCTGCTCTGTTGCCAAGTGGAAAGTGAGAAATTTCCAAGGAAATTGCAGAATAAGTAACACCAGTAGTTATCAGAAAAGGCAAGGATAGATTAGCCTGAGAAAAAGTTATTGACACGTGGTTCACTAGTTCCCACTGTCAAGATTCCCTCCGTGTTTCTATCTACTTTAAGCCATTTGCCAAGTATTTCCTAGCTGAGGGTTGTCCCTTAAACTCTTTTGATTCTCTTATCCTTATAATCCCTACATCCTTCAGAGTCTCTTTCTGCAACCCCCTTCCCAATTCCCTGGCTTTTTGCAAAAAGGACATAGATTTACTGTCTCTTTTCTTGCTTTCTTTCCTTCATAGGTTGGCCAGAGGAGGGATTATTCCCTTTAGCAGAGTTCTAACTGAGCAGCCAACAGAGCTATAAGGTTGTACAGTGTCTATAATGTTGCACTAGATTATTCTCAAATATGTTAGCTACTGCTAACATATGAGTAAGAGTCTGTTCTTGCCATCCAACCACCTTTTCTGTAAACTGGGTTTAGATAATGGGCATGAGAGCCAACACAAAGGTAGTTAGGCCAGGAGGCAATTTTTCTCTCCCTGGGATCTATGAGGATAGATTTTGAGAAAATTCCAACA